TTGCATACTTCCTTTTCTAATCACTTTCAGAAATTGCTTGTTAGGTACTTTTAAGCTATTAGGGACCTTGAGATTGACAACTCTCCAAAACGTTGGGTTAGTTTGCCTTCAACTCTTAATGAAAGAAAATTTTAATCATAAGCTGAATAATTTTTTAAAAAATTGAAATAAACAGCAAAAAACTAAATAAGACTTTGATTTTTTTCTGGCATGTTTTGTGCCATCTCACAGACTGGAAATAAGCACATTAAGGTGACAGTCTGGATTAGTTCTTAGATACTATTACAGGTGAGACGCATGTCCTGACTTTCTCACCTTGCTCAGAAACATCTTGGCAGACATTCACAAGGTTTGTTGCATTATTTAATCCTGATCTTCAAGGAATTCAGGAAGATGTCAGTGGTGCCCCTCCAAATATTATCCTCACAACCACCTTCTAAGAGGAGTTAGGATGAGAGATAGTCACTGGCCCCAGCAATCCAGTGAATTATTTGGGTGGAGGGATTTGCATACAGGTCTCCTAGTTCCTTGTCTGACCCTGCAACAACTTTGTCCCACTGGCTGCCATTATTTACGCCCTGCATCTAAGCAAAAGAATCCAATGTAGTGAAAGTGCCCCATCATGTATCTGAGTGTTAGGACAGCTTTGCAAAGGTCACTGTATCTTTTGTTGACTCCATTACTCATCCCAGCTGTGGTTGAAATATTACATGCCTGCCTTACCAGATGAACACACTATGTACGGTTAGTGGTGTACTATGAGAAAGCAGCGTAATAGGTTGACGCAATCATTAGGGAGTGAATTATCTCTGAATGCTGATGAAAAGTATGAGAATGTGAATGTTTCCTCCTCTAGAACAGAGATGGACAATTTACAGGTGCTCTGCTTTTCTTGTTCAGAAATTGTGCTGCCAAATTTCAATGGAAAAACACTAAACTTGTTTTTGTTGTTGTTTTTTAAGGTTGCATGACCAATACCCTCTCCCAGTGACAAAGCCCCAGTCAAAATGAGTCCTCCTTCCTTTGTTGATATCACCATGTCTGTCAGGCTTCACACCAGGGCTCAGCAATTAATCACACAGCAGTCCTCAACCACCCTTCCTCCTTTTTTCTTTTAAAAATATAGCCAAGAAAAAAAAAGAGACATGTTGAATGGGATTCTTGTTCTTCTCCCTACTTTTTCCTACCCAAACTTCACCTGAGATCCAGGTAATGGCTTCCCTTTTTCTGAGCATATTTAGCAATTATCTGGTATGTGAAGTAAAAAGTAGAGAAAGAGTTTCCAGGACCAATGGACTGAACTTCCCGTTTCTATTCTGACACAAGAAAATAGTTAAAAATAAAATGATGATGTGCTACTCAACTATTGGGTTGCTTGCAAAGAATACTTGTGCTATTGTAGCATAGGCCAATTGAATAAACCAATGTGGGCATGATTTAAAATGTCCTAATAATCAGAATAACCAATGTGAGTTAAATTTGCTTCTGTGGAACAGTCTCCTATTAGAAATGAACCATCTCATTTTCTCTAATGGTATAACTAATCCTGACCCCCACTGAAGAAAACATTAATTTCCCTAATTAAAGTCCATTCTGAATGTCAGTATTTAGTTAAAGCAAAGCACAGCCTTCACAGAGAGAGCTGACATTTACATTTGTGTGATAAGTTTGCTGCGATACCTTTATTCTACATTAGAGTGAATGCCTCATAAATGGTACAATTTATACATTAAATATGCGAAGAGAGATCTCTTTGGAGAAGACCCTGATGCTGGGAAAGATTGAAGGCAAAAGGAGAAGAGGACGGCAGAGGATGAG